TCCCCCCCCCCCCCCCTCTTTTCTTTAATTCGTTACATCACCTCATTTTCAAAGTTAAATCTGCCAAAAGCATAGTGATCAAATACCTTCTAAAAAAATGCTCAGCAGTTAGAAATTCTTTAAAGTTTGGCTGGGGCTGCAGAAGGAAAGTAGGTGTGAATTTCAGCATCAAGTGTGACACCAGTGCACATTTGATCTCGTGAAGATGACAGCAACTGTCTGTGCAGGGAAGGAGAGAGAAATAAAACCTGAAAAAAAAAAACCCAATCAAAAACAATTGCGAATCCATATGCTTTTCCATAGCCACTTTTAGATCCAAAGTGTGATGAAATCACACAGCTTCCTCATTGGCCACTTATCCGTAGTCTCAAGATGAGGGAGTACCTGATGAGCTCAGCCAGCGCCTTCACAGGCTGTGTTGTGATAGTAGTGGCTTGCTCGGTGTGGATATTTTATCAGCAGACCGAAGCAGCACACAGAACCAAAGCAGCACTCCTCAGCCCACGATCTCACGGCATCAGATGGCTCTCAAGCTCATCAGAGAGCCTTGCAGAATATATTCCAAACACCTGGTCCGACCTTTTGGCCTGGCTGGAGACCAGCTCAGCAATGTGCTGTTGGCAGAAAAGGATCAGACCCATATTGCAGGAGAGTGACATTCAAACCAGTTGGGGCGAGGTGCTGTTAAAGCAATTTCAGTCCCCCTAGAGTCTGCGTCTGTTATGGAGGCCATGCAACAGATACATTAAGGACAAAAAACAACAATGCTATTTACAGTATTGCTCTAAAAAATCCATATTCAGAGGTTGACTTCTCATAGTGGAATAAGAAGTATCATTTTAACTTTTCTCATCAGCCACTAATTCTGATTCTTATGAAAATCTATTTTTCTGGCAGCTCTACATTAGCTAAGTTAGTGGTGGCCATTTAGCTTGGCATTAGAACAAGATGCTCCAATCCTAAAATTACATTTGTTCATAAGGTGGTTGTTAAGTAGGTAAATAACATGATTCGTCCAGATTTGATAATGTAAAGCAAAAAAATGGCACATTGACAGAGACATTTTGATGAACAGCGGATGCTGTGGACTTAGGAAATTCTCTACATATAATTTTTTTTGATAGCAATATAATACCTGAAGGGGCTGGCAGAGAGGCTAAATGAAAGTAAGGACAGAACTAATCAAATAGATTAATTCTAAAGAAAGAAGTGTTAATCATAAACAATTATGGGGAGAAAAAGGGAAGTGTCAGAACAAACAGATGAGTCAAAAATACTGGGTAGAAGAGAATTAAAGCAAAACCAGAAGGAAAAGACAGTGGAACTAAAGGAGTGAAATGAGAAATGAATGCTAAAAAGTTATTCAACCATATCTGAATAATACAGCATGCCTTTGCCATTTGCTGTTTCTGGAGGTTTATGACATTTTTCTTTCTCTTTCTTTTGTTTGTCAGCAAAAGTTCAGTAAGTGACATGGCTTTTGGAAAGGCTATAAAAAGAAGATAAAAATGTCAACACAGAAATGGAATGACTTCTTAGTGACAGAAAAAGAAAGAAAAATGTGACTGTAGAGAATAACAGAGAGCTTTAAGGTCAGTATTTTCTACCTAATCTTGCCTGAAATAAATGTATAACATGACTCTTAAAAGGAAATCCATCTGACATGAATCAGAATCCTTTTTTTGTTCACACATATGTAATTATCTTGGAGAGCTGATTGTGAGTGTGTATTTCACAGACACAAGTTTTTAAATACATCACCTGTTTGCCGTCTACCAACAGCTACTGGCATGCTGGCTAAAACAGAATTACAAAGGCTAGCGATCCCTGTGCTTCAGAGAGCATTGGAGTTGTTTGGCATGCTGGGGGTGGGAGGAGATGCCAACAAAAGAGCAGAAGGGGTGGAGAACATTCTGTAACACAGCCTCCAACCAAAGCAGCGTTCAGCCTTCTGCTGAGCGAGAGAGGAGGACTGGAGCCAAAATCAAAGATCGAAACAGAAAGAAGAAAAAATTCAAGCAAGAAAGGATAATTCACTTCATAACAGCAGTAGTGTAGGTGGTTGGGAGAAAGCAAAAAAAAGAGAAGCTGAAACCAGGAATAATTAATTTGTGATTAAGACAGTGAACTGGAGCTTATGGGATTTATATTGAAGCACATTTTGCTATACATTTCTTGAAGAACCTTGAGCAAGTGACCTCAAGTAGGCTGAACAGAGGCGTCTGGTTGCCTAAACGCAGGCAGCTCTTTGCACTCCCAGACATGTGTCCAACAGCCTCCAGAGGACTGTGGCTGTCACATCTGCCATCTCTTTTGGGAACAGTGGGACATACATTCAAACCAGCACTAGACTCCCAGATGTGAGAACATCTCCCTGAGACTAGCTTATTCTCTACATAAAACTGAAACAATAATATTCACTTGCTCTGTTCTTGTTCCTACCTCTTCCACTATAATATGCAACATTTTACTGGCAGATTCAGGCCATATTTGTACAGTCTTGATCTTGGCAGAAGTATCTAGGCATTATAACAAGGCAAATAATAACGAACAGTGATATGGATAAAAATAACACCGAAGTAATAAGACTGTGGGACAGTGAAATGAATTGCATTTCCAGCAGGTAATGGAACAGGCAGGAGAAGTACAACCCCTGAGGGAACAGGTACGTTCTTTTCTCCACAACGCCAGCTCAGCACTGTGCAATATTTTCCTCCAAATACAATAATGGAAACTCATACCAATTCTTTTACCTGAGGAGAATCAGCTGTAGGTAGAACATCCAGGAACAAAAAAATATGAGGAAGGTGTTTGAATGAATGGAGGAGAAATGTTCAGGGAATAAACAGAATAGAGGGTATTGTTTGGTTGTTGTTTGGTTGTTGGTTTTTGTTTGTTTTTTTTCAATTGTATATCAAGATAAACACTTTATGCAAATCTTTATGTATAGAAAAGGTTACACTGGAATAAGGTGTGCAGGTAGAAAACTACTTGGGAGGGTTACAGGAATGGAAGAACTGTGTTACCACATGCTGAAAAATCAAACACTGCTCTTCTTTTATTTCACAAAAAATTTCCGTAGCACATTGACCTGTACCATAAATAGAGGAACAAAACAGCACAATGATGAGTTTCTTCCTTTTTGCTGCTTCCTGTACCTCTGAGGAAAACAAGATGATACAGTCCTAAAATATTAATAAGGGAGCAAAGGGAGTAATTGCCAGTGTATTACATTCAAAACAAAATACTAATGAGACAGTTGAAAGTTAAATCTACTTGGATAATAATAGAGGCACATCATTCTATTTGCTGAGTACCACATGTACACCCCTTTCACAATGAAACTCAGATTTGTGGAGATCACCTGTAAACAAAAATGAGGCATTTTGGCTGTAAGAAGATGTTTAATTTTAAAGACATTTTGCATGTTTAAAGGAACATAAAACACACTCCTGAGTAATAAGGCCATTTGTCACATTTCCATGTCCAGCCTTATTACATGAAAAGATCCCTGCAGATGGTTAATAGCCGTACTAGTGACAATGGATTATTTGCTGGTTCACTGAGCGTGCCTGATTTTTGTTATGAACACACGCACTCATCCTGCAGTGGAAGATTTTACAGTTTTGTCAACCAATTCAAATCTCATGCAGGCAGAAACCACTTGTCCAATGAAAATCTTTATTTTCACACTGCTCTCTTGCATTTTTGGAAATGAATACCTAGTTTCCTATCCAACCAGTATTGCTCAACACTGATACATCCCTATATAGGCAGAAGCATCCATTCTCAGCAGAAGACTGAGGCATTTCTCAAACTTCCATACATGTTGGGGCTCTGAGTGCATTTCCCCATCATGGAGGAAACATGGAAATTTTTGGAAATATGAAAATATCCTCTTCCTTCTGTGGCTGGGGATGCTGTGGAAGCCACAGCCCCATTTTTATGGGAGCTGCTTTTAAGATGAGCCTCTGCTGTTTGAGCTACAGCTCCCACCATGCCTGGCCAGTGTCAGCCTCATCCCAGGGCTGTGGCTGATCCCGTGCCCAAGGAATGCCCTGCCAGATCCTACCATCACACACCTGGGGACCTCTCAGCACTCCTGGAACAGGAGTCTGGGGTGCCCTGTCAGATCTCTGTAGGGCTTTTGTTTGCATTGTCCAAGAAATGGTGGGCGGCATTCTTTTCCTTTTCTTCCCTACTTATTTCAGCATGCTGTCAGATGCTTACATGGATGATGACATGAAAGTTCTGATTTTTCATTATAATACATTTTTCTTCTTGAAATGCTATCATACCATCTGTAATTGC